AAACTCAAATCCACTGGGATTAGAGGTAGTAGGCTCCAAGCATCCCATTAAAGAGCTGAAATTGTGTATGAAAGTCACTTGTATTATTATTCCTGGCATCTAAATAGGGATTTACAGCATTTCAGAAATGGTGACTGAGAAAACCAGCTCATTACAAGCTGCAAATGCATCCTTATTTTTCCCAACACCCATGTGCAACCCACCTGGGATTTAACAATCCTGAAGAGGAGGGCATAAGTGATTACAAGACTGCACCTTATCACGTTTAAAAAGACAGCTCCTTGTTTCACCATTGCCTTTAACAGGGCTCACTGAAAGGACTCAACAGTCTGAGAGTCATTTTTCCAGCCAAGGACCTGAATATTAGGGATTAAATGCTGTTATGATTGCAATACCTGTAACAATGCCTTCCACAAGTGATGTGACAAATATTTCAGACAGGAGTGTTAGGTGGGTTTTATTTTTCTTCTTCCTGTTTAATGGTAAAATATTCTAGAAATGGACAATTCCAAAAAACAGATTACACTCCAAAAAAAAAAAAAATGTATTTACAAAGGCAAAAGCCAACATTACTGAGTGCACCTCTAAGCTTTCAGCTGCCCAAAGGAACAGCAAAATGCAGATATAAATAAGTTTTCATTACTTACATTTTCAAGATGCAAGTTAGCACAAAATATTTGGGCCCACAGAAATATCTGAAGCACTTCAATTTGCATTATGGAACAAACATTTGAGACATTTCATCTAAAAGCAGAATTTAAGTGCCAAAGATGGCCCATGACCTTAGATTGCTTGCTCTTGCAGCCCAGTGGCAGCATCAGTCTTTCTGCTGCTTGATAATGGTTTGAGTTTACAGAAAATTAGGGGGGGGGGGGAAAAGTCTTCTCTGCATTTCCTTGTGCACAAAGGCTTTGAAGCTGAACTCCCACACAGTGGGAGCACAACGAGCAGCACTTGGTTATGAGGGATTTTAAAGCAGAGCAGCTTTTTAGAACCGGTTAAAAAAAAAATTAAACAAAAAATGCAACAAGTTGCTACGCTTTCAGTCTGCCAGGAGATGACTGTGGGACAGGATTCCTACAACCTCATCAGACTGTGCCACTCACAGCTCGCTGCCAGAGACAGCTGTAACAGTGCCTCTTTCATGATCATCACGTGCACAACCACCTCTGGGGAGCATTTTACCCAACCCAAGGTGCCAGCAAAGCCCCTCTCTGCTGTTCAGCTGTGTTTGTGGGCAGACTGATCGACCTGTCTCATGTAAGTACCTACACACCCTGAGGCTACCTGGGGACTTCAGGAAAGCTTAAAAGCTCTACCTCTGTTGCACAGCTCATTTCCACCAGCAGCCTGTGCATCTCCCCACTGGTTTTCCTGACAGGACAGCCCAACTGACACCTCCTAACTCACCATGCACTTGTGTTATTAACACCTTTTCTGGCTTCCCCACCACCCCAGAGCAATTTGTACATCACTTTCTACACAGCTCATATCCTAACCTTTCCAACATAGTGATTAACTGACTTGCAATTCCTGGAGTTTTCCAAGTTGCCTTGAACACGAGGTTTCTGCTCCCTGGAAACAGACTGTAATTATATACTGATTTGGGGATCTAGAAGGTTCCTTTGGTTTAACACTCCAGCTGTGACTGTACCCAGTGAAACAATGAATTCTCCAGCTGAACTCAGGGAGGGGTTAAACCAGTTTTAAGTACAATGCTATTTCTCTATAAAAAGGCATTTTGAAGGATAAGTATCAATCAGAAGAGACTTGCAGAAGTCAAAAAGGTTCATTAAGGTCCTTCCATTTGGTTCAGGCTCTTTAGAAGTATTCAGTTTGTGCAAAATTAGTGCTTCTGGATGGTAAACAACCTGCTGAAGGTTGCAGTGCTGAACCCCAGCCCAGCTGGCACATGAGCAGTGGGAATGCAAACTGCAGTGGCAACTTGGGTGATGTGGACATCCCTCTGGCAGGGAGCTGCAGGAATGATTAGGGACCTGAGAACAAAACTGGTCCCAAAAAAAAGCCAGTGGGATTTAAGTATAGACAGTGTGATTATATGGAAGTATTTTAGAAGCTTACAACTAATTTTTTTAACAGGACTAGAGAGAAAATACAATATCCAGATAAACCAAATCAGACCTTGATGGTGAGGAGGGAACTACTATTTAGGAGGAGAGGAGATGGGTTTTTATTTGTTTCTATTAGGAGGGTTTATGCCCAGGTTAGTTTGAGAGACCATCACTTGCATGAGACCTACATGTGACTCTAGGTAGCTACTCCCAGGTTACCTCAAATTCATAAAGTGATATTACTTAATAAGTACTTTGCAGGGAATTTTTCTCTAATAAATGTTGATAGGCTTTTGGGTTTGTCTCTTTCTAATAACAGTGACACAATTTCAGAGCTTCCAGAGAGCTGCAAATTCATCAACACATCCCTGAGTCTCCTGGGACAGAGCAGCAGGGCCAGTGCTGGCTTCAGAATCTGTGCTCCCTGTGAGAGGGAGCTCTTCTTAAAGCCTTCTGCTCCTCCCTGGATCAGAACTGGGCCATGGGAAAGAACTGAAAACCTACCAGAGATTAACCACCAGCCTTTCTTTTCATCTTGAACCAGCAGCAGGGCAGCTGAACTCTGTTAAAGCAGCCCAAGCCACAGTGATACTGAAAATGGCTGAGCCCTGTCTAATAAAAATGAGGTTGATCAGACAAGGAGTTTGTGATGCCAACTCATGACTTCTCTGCTGTCTGCAAGTGTAGGGCACCATCCACAGTGTGCAGGTTCCATCTGCACAGATCCCCATGTTCCAAGGGGAGCCAGCTCCCCTGAGAACACCCTGCCCATCTCTCCAGGTTATGTGTAACTGCCCTCCTGTACTTTTATCTCCAGCTGATGAACTTGTCTCAGGGTGCCAGGGAGAATGGGAAGGTTCTCTGTGAATTTTCACACGTAAGAAGGCAGAGGAAAGGAAAAAAAAAAATCATTCATGACAACCTTCAGGCACTCTGCTTCTCCTGGTGTTTCTGACACTTGGATTTTTATCCTTTTGGACATGAGGCAGAAGAGGAAAACGAGGAAGAGTTTGAATTCACCTTGACTTCTCTTTGTCTCCAGCTGCCAAATATGCACAGAGTCATTATCAGAAAAGAAAGATTTGTTTGTGCCTCTGCTGAGACTTGAGCAATGATATGACTTGAGGGGCACAGGCACTGTCATGATGCATCACAACCCTGGAGGCATTAAAGTGTCTCTGTGCAGCTGCTCAGCCAGAAAAGCTACTCAGATTGCTCAAGTCTTTTCAATGAGCTGAGCCCAAGGCGATATTTTAGTAAGAAACTGCTTCTTTAAAAATTAAAAGGAGTTATTTTTACATCATTTGCATCATTTGACTTGGGTTATTTTCAATGTGTTCTATGATAGGTCACCTGTGTTGCCAGAAAAAAAACTCGCAACTGGTTCCATTCAGATTAATTCCCTTAAAAACCTGACAGCTTTATTGCCTAATTCCTTGCACAGACACCTCCAAAAACCATGAAATTACAAGGGTTAGTTCTATTTTAGTACTAACAGGTGACATGCAACCTGCACACGTTTCCAGGAATGTCTCAACAGTGACCAACAAAAAATGACTCTGTGCTTAGTCAAGGATTCCAGCCTGGCTGAAATGACCCAAAATTAGGAGGATGAGCTTGGATTCATCTATTTAGTGTTGCCATATCAAACCCAGTTACCCTTTGTGAGCCAGCTAGAGACGTGACCTGAAAATGCAGTTCCAGTTAAGCCCAGGAGAAAGTTGCTTTCTCTTGTTCATTCTCCAGTGGAAGAGCTCGTTGATGTTAAACCTGCTTGATTTTTTCCATTTTTCTACCCCTCTGATAGAGACAGTGTTAGCAAGGACATCTAGGAGGGACATGTTACAAGACATGTTCTGAACTGAGAAGCTGGACAGGAAAAGGGAAGGAGCAGAACCTCCCTAGTGAGGGCAGAGCTGCTTCATGCAGCTGTGCTTTTTTGCAAAATAAAGTCTGTACACAAACCCAGCATAAAAGAGGAAGCAAAAAAAAAAAAAAAAAGGGAGTTTTTGCCCCTCTGTGTCAGAAAATGCTGTATGAGCCCACAGTGAGGGTTTTTACATCACTGTACAAGCAAAATTTTGTTTCGCTTCTGATCTTACAATGGTAAATGCTGAGCCCATGAAGTGACACAGGCTCAGCCAGCACTGCTGCAACACTTTCTGCTACTTAATCAAAGTGCCTTTACCTTCTCTTATAGGACTGTCTCTCATTTCACATGACCCTCCAAAGCAGTCCCTCCTTTTCCACATATTTGGTTTTACCCCACATTAGGCTCTGTATCACCAGAATCACAGGACAGCAGGAACACTTCCTTACCTTAACAAGCAACATCCCCTCTGACCCACTCTAGAATCACATGGAATTGGTTTTTTTTTCTCATCCAGCACAGGATGGTCAGTGATCATCCCATAACCTGCTGTGCACTTTGTTTGGCATCAGGGAAATGGTTGGGCTGGACAAATGTATCATTGAAAGGTTCAGTAAGAACACTGTGAGATAAGACTTAATGGTTATATTCTGCTGAGATTGCCAGGAAGTGTTATGACTACTGGAAAGGCAAAGAGGGATTAGTTACAGTATTTAGATACAAAACCTAACAGTGTTTTACCATAAGAAAAGAAGAAAAGGAAAGAAAACACACCTTGGAGCTACTGCAGAAGGAAAAAGGGCAGGAACTGAACACCTGAGACATGGGGGATGTGTGGCTCTCATTCTGCCACAAATATTGGAAAGAAATCTTTTCTCTCTCTCTTAAACTGGAAAACTTTTTCAGTGGTAGCAGCAGACTATCTGGAAGATTCTTATCTATTTTAATCAGGCTTCTTTTAGCACCTGCTGAAATCTCTGAGAGCTCAGGATTGGCTTAAACACATATGAAGAGGGCCCCATGGCACATATTCCTTGACAACAATCTGTTCTCCTCACCTCATAGAGTGTAATGATGCCATTTGTCTCATTTGGAGGCTTCCACTGCACATAGATCTTCTCTTCAAAAGGTCCTCCCTGGATGGATTCCAAGGGAACAGGTCCAGGAACTGCAGGGGGGAAAAAAAGCCCAACAAACCGTCTTAAAAACTACCCCCAGCTCCAGCTGCACACGCATGAGAAGACACCAAAAGGCCACCAGACAGGAAGCTCAGAGTTAAAAATAAATAAATAAAATTAAAAATTAAAATCTGTCAAAGCACTAGTACTATCAAAGCCTTATTTCTGCACTTTTGGTTCAAACAAGGATACTCCAATGTAACCACTAAGGGATAAATAAAATTAGAATCCATGAAAATATGGAGCTAATTTCAGTATGGTTTTATTTCAGTATAGCAGAGCAGCAGCAGGGAATTTAATTTGTCCTTCTCTGCCCAAAGCTCTCTCCACCTAAACAGCCAGTCTGCACCTTGGCATAGGGATGCTGCTGGGCTGCACACCTTTATCAATGTGAGAGACTGATTTGCTTAGCAAAGTAACAATAGAAGATTTATATTTCATTACGGCTACAAGGCCAGCTAAAAAAATCCACCTACTCAAGCAAAATTTTAATGCTGTGGAAGACAACTAACTAAATGCACTCCTAAGCCTGTCTGATAAAACCCTGCTCATTTTTCTGAAATATTTGCCATCCTTTCATGTCCCCCCCATGATATATTGGGCTGGAAGAGCCACTTTCAGCTGAGAGAAACTTAGGACAGCAACTTCTTACAGCTCAGGCTGAGGAGAAACTTGTATTTTACATGTTGGACAGGAGGGAGGCTTGTAGAGCATGAGAGTCTGAAACAGCTCAGATGGGATAATAACACTGAAACACTCCATCACATCAGTTCTTCCAGAAAACTTTTCTATCCAGAACACAAGAGTTCACACTCAATTAATTTTGCTTCTGAGATCTATATAAAATATGATGTCCGGAAGGTCGATATTAAGAAAAGCTATGCTCCGGAAAGGAAGGCATTATACTCCTTTGGGGACATCTTCTTCTTGTGAAGGCACAAGAAAAAAAAAATCAACAAATGCCAGGATTACATTTGCCCATATGACAAAGGAAGCTGCTGGGTAGTTCAGAACACAGAGAATTAAACCTTTGGTAACTACTCAGGCTGAAGTTTATCACACTCAAGCACTTCAAGGATTCTTGTCTTTTCAAGAACATGGCTGTGAAATAGAAATTATTCACCCCTACAAGTTTTGCTTGCATGAGACACATGCTGTCCAGAGAAGACATTTATAATCTCGTGGGACAGAGGGTTATGTTTATGAGAAATAAAAATACAATTTTTATAGGCATATCGTGAAGTTCTAAGATATCCAAGTTCAAAAATACTGGACTTGAGTGTCAGGGTCTTTTTCGGCCAGCTAAGGGAAGTGCAAGAGTTCTTAAAATCTTTTGGGGCCATTTTTGTACAAAAAGAGTTCTCTCTCTTTGGCTAAGAACAAAGGAACATCCATCATCCTTGACAGGGGATGCCTTGCAGCCAATCAGAGTAAAAGGAAAGCCCCTTCTGAGAGAAAAGAGACGTTTTTAGGTAAAAAAGAATATATTAAACTTATCCGAAAAAGGGTGAGATTTTGTAAAACAATAAAATGAATGAGATGTAAAGCCAAAGAGTCTTTCTCCCCAGAAAACTCGGTGGGGGAAGGACCTGGCATGTCAAATAAATCCTTTATTGTTCCCTGAGTTTATGCCGTCTTTCTAAAATTAAAAGAGGGATTTTTTCCCACATGATGTTATTTACGACCTGTAAACATGAGTCCTCCCCAGGAATCAAGCAAACAAACCCAGCCTGACTGTGGTAGTTTAGTCTGGGCCTTCCCTGGTGACCAGTTTGTAACCAAGGAAGCGCTCAGATTTACCTGGTATTCTCTACGATTTTTACATAAGCCGGGGTGTAAGAAGAAAGGAGGAAAGGCCTTTGGCCCTCTTTCCTTCTGGCAGCTTTGGAGGTGTGGGTTTCCCTGCTGTTGAGTCTGTCGTGTTGGGGAGTGAGGCCTGGTGAGGCCTAGTGAGGCCTGGTGAGGCCTGGTGAGGCCTTGCCAACCTTGGGGAGGCGGAGGTTGCTGGCGGTCGTTCCAGAGAGACTTTCTGTTGTCCCAAGCAGAGTAGTAAGATATTCTTTTGCTAATTCTTTTAGTTGCTAGATCTTGGGCTATTGACCGTGTATATTTTATTTTGCTTTTGTTCCCTTTTTTCCTTCCCCCTTCCCTTTTCCTTTTCCTTTTGAAGTTGTATATATATTTCAATTGTATATAAATGTAATATAAGTGTAAATATATCTAGATATATTGCTTTAGCTGCCTCTCTCTCGTTTCGGTTCTCTTGTTTTTTTTTCTCTTTTCCCTTGGTTTTGGGGGTGGGGGGGAAGCTCTTGTGGTGAGGTTTGAAGACTTGGCAGGGAACCAGCTTCAAACCACCTCGCTGACTCACCATCCTCCTCGGTCTGCACCACCAGCTCCTCGCTCTCCATCTTGCCCTCGGGGTTGGACAGGGCCAACCTCAGCCTGATGGTCATGAAGGGCCGCAGACCCCGCAGGGTGTAGTGGGAGGAGGTCTGGATGAGCTCCTCGGCCTCGAACTTCTGCTGGTTGAACACGTACTGGTACTGCACGGTGAGGTTGTAGCTGTGGCAGCGGGTCACGGCGTAGCCGAAGGGCTCCCACTGCAGCGTCAGCTGCCGCGACCGAATGTCCACCACCTCCACGTTCTGGGGGCCGTGCACGGGATCTGCGGGGCAGGAAAAGACAAAAAAACCACACCTTGATATTAAAACGAGTCAGTCATCCATTAGTGTGCTTCATTTTGCATGTCCAGAGTATCCCAGCACTCCATGGTTGGGAATGCTCTTGTCTGTGCAGCGTATGAGTGACAGGAGATGGATTTCAGATCTACAAATGCATTCTGGCTCCGGAGTTTTCCCTGAAAATCTCCTCTCACAAGGCCCTGAACAGTGGTCATGCTCCTGATTGCTGTGAAACCTCACTGAATCTGACAATGGCAACGTGATCCCATCAGGTAAGGGGTGGGAAAGTTACACTTTCTTCATTCTTCTAAAAAAAAAAAAAAAAGCAAAAATAATAGTAGTTGAGGGTCTACTTGACAGTGCCCAAGGAGTTTGGTGAGTCCAACCCTAAGTGATGCAAACACACAGGAAATGGCCCCCAGAGAAGGAATGCACTTAAGTCTTTCAGCTTCCAATTCAGCTCTGTAGTCCCTACACCCTCCTGTTGCCCTCGAACTCATTCTGCTTAGAGACTGAAGCCCAAAAGCACAAGAATTAAGACTAAAAACCTGACTGTTGGGCTTCCAACATCCCAGTGCTGCTGTCCCCTCATCTGTCAGACACTTGAATGTTCTGGCAGTGGGGTGTTCAAGCAGATCCTGCCACTCCTGGACTAAGTTTTCTGAGCCATCTCAACCTTGTGCCAATAAAACTTTCATCTCAGATCATCTCCACGCCTTGGTCCCACCAAAGTTTCTCTGCTCTTTATTATTCTTTCTGCAGTGTCTGGCTGAGGTACACTTTGAATATTCATGTGTAGGAATCATTTTCACCTGCTGTTCCTTAATTTATTTTTAACAGCATAACTCAGATGCTCTGACTACACTCTGCCCTTTATATAAAATATAAATGCATGTACTGCTAGACATGTGGATATAAAGAATGAAGGATGAGTGAGTAAAATCAGTGTTTGAGATAAGTCAGATGGTGATAATACTACAGATGTCACAGTTTGTTTATCTGACAGTTTTTCAACTTGTACAGCTCAACTTGTATTTGCTTTTTTGCTCGATATATATCTAAGCAAGGTAATTAGAAAATACGTAATTTCACGTAAAGTTTCTTGATTTATGGCACAATTCAGGGTTCTGCCCACTTCTCGTGTTCTCTCACGACTTTGACCTATGAAAGGAACATTTTCATGGGAACAAAAAAGTTGGAAGAACTCCTGACTACTAGTCACACTTATTTGAAAGATAATTCAAGTAGAAAAAAAAGCCTTCTAGTAATTCCTGAAAGTAAAGCACCAGCCATACTGACTTCAATCTACTCATGCAAGAGCAGAAAATACACTGTAACTACCTACATATTCTGAATTACTGCTAAAAATCCCATAAAGACTGGCAATGGGAAACTATTCTGCATCTTTATATAGGCACACACATATGCAGACACTTTGGAAATAGGATGGATATTAAAAGACCAGGGGTCTAAAGTTAGCAAGTGGTTTAGGTTTCCACATAAATCATGTCAATCCTGTAGCATCGAGAAAATACCTCCTAAATAAGAGTATTTACTACTCTGTGTTAAAAAAAAAATGTCATTTAGAGATTAGGAAGTTCCTATGCATAAATACACACACATATACCTAGCATTAGGTGCTGAGCAGCCATTTACTATAAATCCATGGAAGGCACATTCCTGCAAATGAACTGTGGAGATAAATGAGGTGACCAAAAGAATGGTTCTGTGAAATCTTTCACAGATCAATCAACAGCCTCTGAAACAGTAAAGGTAAGCCCAAGACATTGCAAGATGCATCAGATGGAAAAAAAACCTAAAAAAAAATAAGTTCATAAGTAAAAACAAGTTAAATTTTAGGTTAGAGAGAAAGAAACCAAACTGGAATTAGATCAACAAACAGAAGCTGGCCCAGGAAAGCTTTACATTCTCTTCAGTTCCCTTCTCTCAGTTTCAATCTCCTTTTTTTCCTGAAAACTGAGACTATATAATTTTGAAAATGTTTTCCTGTTGCTACAGTGATTTTCTCTGTAGCAGAAACCATTGAAACCTCATTTTCAAAGCTGAGATTTTGTACTGCTGTTTTTAAAGGACAGTGGTCCTACTGTCCTCTCCATTGAATTCCTTCTCCACGTCAGCTTTGTAAGTATTCAGTCTCAAAAGGTCTGTAGTACCTATCCCTGGGGTTTGACTGTCTAACAACATCCATTTTTCATAATCTGTTAATGACTTGTTTTCCCAGAAAAAGTGTTTATAATTTGTCTACAATCCTCTGGTAGTGGTGAATATTTGAAACTGGACAAACGTCTCCACTTCTGTATTCTTGGAATTATAGCTTTCAAATAATCCAAGAAAATGCCTGAAAATTAATAACTTTGTACTTGGCTAGTGGCATAAAAGCTGCCAGTATGGATCTCAGCTTCAACTACACAAAGCTACCCATCAAAGCAGGACAGAAACAGACTGGCCCAATTTGAGTAGTTAAGAGATCAGATATAAAAAGACATCAATGTAACCTGCATAAACTGAAGTAAAATTTTCTAACTGTCCTGAGACCTTGGGGAAAAAAGCCAGAGGGAATTCTTAAGAGGCCAGAGCAAGGAGAGAGCTGCCACCAACCTGCTGCAACAAGTCTTGAACCCACGCAAGGAAAATTGCAGCCTCTGGGACTTCACCGTGCAAATGCACATTTTTATTTCAGCCCAGCTGAACCACTAATTACATTTTGAAAGTTCACATCAAAGTCCAGGACTGAACGGTTATTTTTCCATTCCACATCACCCACTGATGCTTTGCTACCTGTCACTACCCTGGTGGGCTGCTGCGAACACTCAGCAGCCGGGAACCTTTGTGAGCGCTTGGGATGGGAAAGTCCAGAGGGGTCTGGAGCACGAGGCTGCTGAGGAGCAGCTGAGGGAGCTGGGGGGGCTCAGCCTGGAGAAAAGGAGGCTCAGGGGGGACCTTCTGGCTCTGCAACATCCTGACAGGAGGGGGGAGCTGGAGGGGGTCAGGCTCTGCTCCCAGGGAACAAGGGACAGGATGAGAGGAAACTGCCTCAAGGTGCACCAGGGGAGGTTCAGATGGGATACTGGGAATGTTTCTTCAGGGAAAGGGTGGTCAGGGAAGTGGTGGAGTCACCATCCCTGGAGGCATTTAAAAGATGTGCAGATGTGGCATTTGGGGACATTGGTTTAGTGATGAGTTTAGACTTGATGATCTTAGAGGCCTTGTCCAACCTAAATGATTCAGTGATTCCAAGTGGCCTGAATGAAGCAAACCCTCCCAGTGATCCTTCAGTGGTACCCTGTGTCCTCAGTCCAGGTAAGGAGACACTGTTGGCCCAACAGTGACGTGCACTGTTCAGACACTGCTTATTCTGCCATCCAAATTTCACAGAAAAGTTGACTTTTAGGGCTGGTTTTGCTCTTTCCTTACTGAGTGTCACAGAGCTCATTCTGTTCACTGGTGTCCTCATGCTCCAGGTGAGGTGTAGAAAAGAAAAGGTTGATTCAGATTATCAATACCAATTGTCATGGCTTTGTACCCCTCCACCAGGAGAACAGAGAGCAAAGGAAGCCGTGGTGACACACTGGGGTTTGAACACAGAGCTCAACAGGAGGGAACTTAAATACAGACAATCAGCTGCTGCCCCTGGGTTAAATACCTGCTGCAGGAGCCTAATTGCAAGAGATTACTGCTGTCAGTAAAGACATGACAGGAGTGGAAGGTGTCTGTACTCATCTGGGGCCCTGTGCCTGTGTCTCCTGACCCTCTGGAGAACAGGAGGCAGAGTTTATTAGCAGTGCAGGTGTCCACTGATTAAATTCTGTTTCCCAGCAGCAGGTTACAGGGGCTGAGAATGCACAAAGGGAAGAAAAATGAGCGTGACATGAGCAGCAGCTGCATGTGAATCCTGAGCTGATGTTTTCTGATACAGAAAGAGAAAGAAAAGAGGTGTAAGCATGATTTGTGCCTTCCCCCAGCACACCCACAGCAGAGCTCACCAGCCAGTCACTCCAGCCAGTGCAGGCCAACCAACATCTGGGCACCCCAGTGACGTCCCCAGCCCCTCCTCCAGCCACATTGGGAGGATATCAGTGGAAAACTGGGTGCATTGGTGGTTAGTAAGGCCACCAAATCTTGTGCTCTCCCAACTACCAGCACGGTACAACCTCTCTCTGTAGCTCAGAAAAATATTTAAATTCATTTCCACTTACAAAATATAAATCTGGCAGGATCACAGAATGGTGGAGAACTGCACAGAATATTTCACTCTCACAATAAATTTGAACAGTGGCCACTTTTCAAGCAACAGCAACAAAACTCCTATCACAGAATCACTGAAAGGTCCCAGCTCGGATTGGCAGGGACCTTAAAGCTCAGCTTGTTCCTCCCCCTGCCATGGGCAGGGACACCTTCCACCAGACCAGCTTGCTCCAAGCCCTGTCCAACCTGGCCTTGAATCAACAGTTAGGAGGTTTCCTTTGTGTTTTTCAAAGACATTGCTCTTCTTCTACAGGTGAAAAACCAACAGAAATGTGTCCACCGATGATTTTACACTAGATAAAAGTTGAAGCCTTCTCCCCTTTACTCACTCCCTCTTCCTCCTTAAATTTCCACAGGACGAAACAAGCCTAGGGAAACACATCTACTATCAAAAAATATAGCAAGACATACCGAGCAAAACCATTTAAGTGGTTTGCCTTAAATGCAAAATTAAGTGTGATGGTTGAGAGGAAAACAAGTGACTCTACAGCCTGTGCTGTTCATCTCTGCCAAGAGATCCTGACAGATGCATTGTCCCATAAACACCTCCTGTATCCATGTCCTATGCATGGACACTTCTGAATGATGGACAACTCTGCCCATCCCTGAAGTACAACGTGGCTTTGTGTGACAGTTTCTCTGCTGAGCGTCACAGCTGCTGCCCATCACATTTCAATGCCTCTGAGCCCAAATGTGGCATAAATACTATAAATACCTT